ATGGAGCGTGTGGGGACCGTCCGCAGTCTGACCATCAACAAGAGCAGTCTTTCTGACGACGCCATCTACGAGTGTGTGGTGGAGGAGGAGAAGAGCTACACCGAGCTCTGCGTCCAAGGTACAGAGGCAGAACATACTGCTCTGCTCTACTCTACTCTACTCTACTCTGCTCTGCTCTGCTCTACTCTACTCTACTCTACTCTACTCTACTCTACTCTGCTCTACTCTGCTCTGCTCTGCTCTGCTCTACTCTACTCTACTCTGCTCTGCTCTGCTCTGCTCTACTCTACTCTACTCTACTCTACTCTACTCTATTCTACTCTACTCTACTCTACTCTACTCTACTCTACTCTACTCTACCCTAACCGTACCTTACCCTACTCTACCAGTACACGGATTACCATTAACACCATTAACTTATCTTGTAGTTAATCCTGTGGTTTGAAATTCAGGTCCCTCAGCTTTACCTCAGTCTTTCTCTCTCGTCCTGAGCTGAGGGTTTCTGTCGGCTGTGTTCTTTCTTTACAGTTGTTTTCTCAAAGCTTCCGCGCTGCCTCGTCTCCGCTTCAGTTTTAATCACGGCTCAAACTTTCATGTAACTGTCACTGAACCGCGGTAACAACAGTCTCTGAAAAACACACCGCGGAAAACTCTAACCACAGACGCCACAATCTCTGAAAACACGCTTTTTTATGACTGTCAGAGACGCAAGCACTGTAGCCCCATTTCCACCAGCCCTACTCTGCTCTACTCTACTCTACTCTACTCTACTCTACTCTACTCTACTCTACTGTACTCCTCTGTACTGTACTCTACTATACTTTACTATACTCTACTGTACTCCATTGTACCCACGCTTCTCTACCCTACCTGGTTGTGTTTGTTTGTTTATTTGAGTAGAGTAGAGTAGAGTAGAGTAGAGTAGAGCAGAGTAGAGTAGAGTAGGGTAGGGTAGGGTAGGGTAGGGTAGGGTAGGGTAGAGTAGAGTAGAGTAGAGTAGAGTAGGGTAGGGTAGGGTAGAGAGTAGAGTAGAGTAGGGTAGGGTAGGGTAGAGTAGGGTAGAGTAGGGTAGGGTAGAGTAGAGTAGAGTAGGGTAGGGTAGGGTAGAGTAGGGTAGGGTAGAGTAGAGTATAGTAGAGTAGAGTAGAGTAGGGTAGGGTAGAGTAGGGTAGGGTAGAGTAGGGTAGGGTAGAGTAGAGTATAGTAGAGTAGGGTAGGGTAGGGTAGAGTAGGGTAGGGTAGAGTAGAGTAGGGTAGGGTAGAGTAGAGTATAGTAGAGTAGGGTAGGGTAGGGTAGAGTAGAGTAGGGTAGAGTAGAGTAGAGTAGGGTAGGGTAGAGTAGAGTAGAGTAGGGTAGGGTAGGGTAGGGTAGAGTAGAGTAGGGTAGGGTAGGGTAGGGTAGAGTAGGGTAGGGTAGAGTAGAGTAGAGTAGGGTAGGGTAGAGTAAAGTAGAGTAGGGTAGGGTAGGGTAGGGTAGGGTAGGGTAGAGTAGAGTAGAGTAGGGTAGGGTAGGGTAGGGTAGAGTAGAGTAGAGTAGGGTAGGGTAGAGCTGTTTATATATGTTTTGGTCTGATACAACAGAGTCATGTGGTAAAAACATTGATTATTTTTCAAAACTAAATACATTTGAAGTTACAGACGTCAGCTTTAACCACAGACTTCCCTCTAACCTCCTGAACATTGAACCCAGTCCCATTTATTTTGAAAAAACTTCTGTCAAACCATATTTAAATCTGGGGCTTTAAACCCAGCTCTGATCCACAATAACAGAAGTAGTGTTGCCCGTGGCGTGTAGCGCGGTCCAGGGGGAGTCACGGTGACTTTGACAAACAACCAGAATCCACCGGAGCTCGGACGGCGCTCCACCGAGACGGCGCCACCTTCAGGGTCACGGCGTGAAGTTCACAACAAGTGCATGAAAAGTGAAAGGACATTTATCACACATTATTGGTCTCTTTTTAGACTTTTATGTTTCTTGCGCTGGAACAAGAATAAAAGGTAAATCTAATGATAAATGTGGCGACAGTGGCTCAGTTGTAGAGCATTGGCCTTTGAGCCAGAAGGTTGTGGGTTCGATTCCACTACAAGACTTTCTCCACGGACTCCCACTGGTGTCACTTAACCTCTGGGAACAGCAGGGCCACAGTGGGCGGCTCTAAATGTTGATGTTTGTGATCTTTGCAAATCAGGAAACATTAAAATCTACAGAAACTTAGAAAAATACAATCAATCTTTTAAAACAGTTTTTGCAAAGTGAAAAACACAAACAATAGAAACACAAACAAAATAAATATGTATATACCAACAAAAACAAAAAAGCCAGTTGTCAACGCAGTGGGAAAGGTTGGCGTGTTGTTTGGACCCCTGTAGCCTTTTTACCACAGACACTTTCTATAATATAATGTTCAAAACCAACTTCTGACAGAATTCTGATATAATTTAGTTCATGGGACAAATTTGAAACATATTTTATTTTAAAACACTTTGATTAGTGAATGAACTGTGCCTTCAGAGCCTCCAGTGACCATCACCAAGCTGCTGGACGACGTCCACACCGTGGTCGGGGAGAAGGTGGAGTTTGAGGTGGAGGTGTCGGAGGAAGGAGCCAGCGTCAAGTGGTGAGTTCGGATCCGTCCACTGTGGTCCCGACCCATCTGTGAAACTGCTCCTTCAAACTGTGATGTCACAGATAGAGCTGTGTTCTGGGTCAAAAACAAAATAAATGACTTTGTCTCAATCTTTCAAAAACATGTGGAGACTTTAAAGTTGTTTTGACTCTAACTTTTCCTTCCTTACAGCATCAGGTTAAATATGAATCTAGATGTGACTGAAACAGCAGAGAGGGGGCGCCAGGAGAACCACATGTCAAGCATTAGCTCTTAACAAAGAATGACATTTGTTAATAATTTTACAGTTTACAGGGCGACAGTAGCTCAGTTGTAGAGCATTGGCCTTTGAGCCTGAAGGTCATGGGTTTGAGCCCACCACAAGACCCACGACCCAACTCCCACTGATGACTGCTGTCATTGTGTCCTTGGGCAAGACACTTAACCCCGCTTTGCCTGAAGCCCCCACTGATCTCAGCTCCTGTGGACTCAGCACCTGCAGGAGGATCAGTGAGGGGCTGGTGCTCTGACTGCCACCCCCGACCCAGAAATGGAATAAGGGGAAGAAGATGGATGAATGGACATCAGCCCTGTTTCCACCAGCTATACTCTACTCTGGGATAGGGTAGGGTAGAGTAAGGTAGAGTAAGGTAGAGCAGGGTAGAGTAAGGTAGAGCAGGGTAGAGTAGGGTAGAGCAGGGTAGAGTAGGGTAGAGTAAGGTAGAGTAAGGTAGAGCAGGGTAGAGTAAGGTAGAGCAGGGTAGAGTAAGGTAGAGCAGGGTAGAGTAGGGTAGAGTAAGGTAGAGCAGGGTAGAGTAAGGTAGAGTAAGGTAGAGCAGGGTAGAGTAGGGTAGAGTAAGGTAGAGCAGGGTAGAGTAAGGTAGAGTAAGGTAGAGCAGGGTAGAGTAGGGTAGAGTAAGGTAGAGCAGGGTAGAGTAAGACATTCTGGTCTCTTACTTTGTTTTTACTTCTTTTTACCCACCTCTTCCCTGATGAGTGATGTCATCAGTGTATGATGTCATCAGTGTGTGACGTCATCAGTGTGTGATGTCATCAGTGTGTGACGTCATCAGTGTGTGACGTCATCAGTGTATGATGTCATCAGTGTGTGACGTCATGTCATCAGTGTGTGATGTCATCAGTGTGTGATGTCATCAGTGTGTGACGTCATCAGTGTGTGACGTCATCAGTGTGTGACGTCATCAGTGAGTGACGTCATCAGTGTGTGATGTCATCAGTGTGTGATGTCATCAGTGTATGATGTCATCAGTGTGTGACGTCATCAGTGTGTAACGTCATCACTTTTCCAGGATGAAGGACGGAGAGGAGCTGAACCGGGAAACGGCCGGATCCAAATACAGGTTTAAGAAAGACGGAAAGAGACACATCCTCATCATCAACGAAGCCACGAAGGAAGACATTGGAATGTACCACGCAGTGACCAGCGGGGGGGAGTCCAAGGCCGAGCTGGAGGTCGAAGGTCAGTCTGTACAACTATGGCTCTTTCTCTTTTGCGACGGTTAAACTACGATTTCATTACAGCTTTATTATAAAAGCACCAAAAGGTTGTAATAACTGTGACAGACCTCAGTGCACCAGACAGAAACATGTTTGTTTTAAAACAGTGTTTTAAAAACACTCTTATTCGAACAGGTTTTTAATGATTCTGTTAAATTGGTCCAAATGACAGCTCCGCTCAGAGACTTCAGTCAGCGCTGGGAAATGTGTCCTCTTTACTCTCCTCTTTATCTGGGTCAGACTG